GAATGCCCTATTTCGTTCAAGGTACTACCGCATCGAAATTCAAGTCCCTAAGTCGATGTTCAGACACGAAAACTTTTGTTGCGGTACACGAAGCTTGTCGGGGTGAGCGACGAGGTTAGTCTAGGTTCAGACAGAGAAACTTTTGTAGCGGCAACTCGTTACTTGTGGGAGGGGGAGTGACGAGGAAGGGGGAAGGGGACCGAGTTGCTCTCGTTCGCCTGAGTAATTCTAGTTGGCCGTTCACAGCTGACAACAACTATTGTGTACAAAAGAATTGTTCTGTTTGAACGCGAAGGGCAAAACCAAAAGAGAAGTTGCAGAAAATGAGCAACAAAAGTTTCTCTAGTCAGAGGGGACGGGTACCGAGTTGCTCTACTCGGGCAACACACTTTGTATTCTCGCTCATCTTAGAAATTCAAGTTAGCGGTTCACAGCTGACAACAACAATTGCGTAGAAAAGAGTTTGCTGTGCGTGAATGCAAAGGGCAACACCAAGAGAAATCGCCGATAATAACCAACTAGAGTTTTCGTGTCTGAACCAGTGTTGCCGCGAAACATTTTTAGTGGTAGCTAAATTCCAGCTAAAAAAGGGCTAAAAAAGAGCTAAAAATCGTCGTTGTGGCTAAAAATGGTAGCTAAATTTTTTTACCTACATCTTATATATAAAAATAGGTGCACGTTTTTGGTGTGACTTCATAACTTGAGAACAGCTTCACCGAATTCAACCAAATTTATGTGGCATATTCGATTTATCATGCAGATGGTTTATGCGAAGTTTTCCCCGAATTCGGAAGAGGGGGCGTGGCACCACCCATACTAACTAAAATATAAAAATAAGTGAACGTTTTTGGTGTGACAATATAACTTAAGAACGGCTCCACCGAATTCAACCAAATTTATGCAGCATATTCGGGCCATCATGCAGATGTTTTATGTGGAGTTTGCCTAAATTTGGAAAAGGGGCGTGGCATATGTATGTATCTTATTTATACAAATAAGTACACGTTTTTGGTGTGAGCTTATAACTTGAGAACGGCTTCACCGAATTCAACCAAATTTATACGGCATATTCAGGCTATCATGCAGATGGTTTATGTGAATTCGTAAAAGGGGGTGTGGCACCTTCCATACTAACTAAAATTGTTTTGTTGTATATCTCTTGAAATATTTGTGGTAGAGTACTGGAAGTTGGTATAGAGGTATAACAAATAATTCCATACTCACGGATAAAAATGGGCGGTATTGGAAAAGCGGTCGTGGCACCTCACATCTTATATATAAAGAATAAGTGCAAGATTTCAACCAAATTTATACGGCATAGTCGGGTTATTATGCAGATGATTTGTGTTAAGTTTCCCCGAATTTGGAAAGGGGGGCGTGGCACCACCCATACTAACAAAAATTTTCATCTGGTATATCTCTTGAAATATTTGTGGTAGATTACTGGAATTGGTAGCTATACGTGGCCTGTTCAAGAGTTGGCATTCCAAATTGTTTATTTATTCATACCCAAGATGGAAAAACAAAAAATGTTGTATATCCAAATGTGTTGGATTAAGATTTAAAATAAAGAATCAAAAATTTTGAAATAAAACAAATGATAGATCTTCATATAGAAAAATTCCAGGACTTTTCATTCGTTTTTCAATATTTGGTGTAGACAAGCACACCGGGGTACTGCTAGTATAAATATGTAAGTATACACGCAAACATTTTCTATAATTACTGGTATAGAAAAACAATGAACTCTGAAAAGAATTAATATTTTATTCGACAAAAAAACTTTTTGTGTAACACATAAAGCATATTAAGGGCCGCCAACTTACCTATTTTAAAGTATAGTTAAATCGTTAACGGATAAGATAACGGCCCAGAAACGTAAGGAACATACATATGGGCAATTCACAAGGTGTCGTATTTGTTGTGTTTGTCGTGAAGTCATGATATTTCATGACAGTTGTAAAAATGTTGTTATTGTTTTGTGAAGAAAATTAACACATGACGATACAACTCTGCAACCTACGTTTATTCGGTGTTATGTGAGGTTAAGTGCTGAGATATAATAAATAATCGTAACAGGTGTTCACAACCGTCGTGTTTTAACACAACTTTTGTTAGGAAAATATAACTTCACAACACCTTGTGAATTGCCCAAATGACATATGTTTACTTGCCTTAAAGGAAAGGCGTTCGCTTTATGAGCGAAGAGTAAAATTCATGAAAATCATAAAAAAAATTTAATGTCAATGATGAATAACTTTTGAAAAGGGCTAAAAAAAGGGCTAGGGGCAATTTCAAATTTTTGTGGCCAAAAAAGAATTTGGTAGCCAAATTTAGCCACCAAAGGGCTAAAACGGCAACACTGGTCTGAACGCAGACTAATCGCAGCAGAACAATCGGTAATAGAAACCGCACGTAAGCAAATATCTAATAGAGGTGTCAAACTATCGATAGTCACCAGCGAGAGTTTTGATAGTTTTCAGAAAAATTATCAATATTCACGATAGTCTCGAAAAAACAAAACTATCGATAGCACTATCGATAGCGCTAAATCAGTTAGGTTGCTTTTTTACAGGATCATAGTGAAATAAATATTATCTTATGAAAGTTATAATCGCTCAAAATTAAGTAAATGCTTAGCCAAAATACTTCTCTTTTTAGAAAGTTCAAAAACAAACACAAGTTATACAAACAAAACAGGATTTACGATTAACATATGTATGTATTTTGGCCTAAATGCGTGCATATTTGAATATGGCGTCGGCATCACACTAAAAAACAAAATTTTTAATTTAATTTAAAAATTAAAATAATTTCAAAATGGTTGAAATGATCGATAGTCCTACTAAACTATCGATATTTTCGATAGTATAAGAAAAAACGATCAATGAGTATTGATAGTCTAAAAAAATTTAAACTATCGATACCATCGGTAGTTTGACAACTCTAATATCTAATAATATTTGTCAATTTTGTGGGACAGAACTTTAACAAAATTGGTGTATTTGCTAGCAAAAAGCGACATATCCGTTTTCCCTTATTTAAAAAAAAACTATATTAAATATGGGTGAAAGGTATAACATCCATAGCCAGTTGGAACATTTGCAAAGTAAATACATCGGTACTGGGCATGCAGACACAACAAAGTTTGAGTGGCTCACCAATCAACACCGGGACTCCCTCGCTAGCTATATGGGACACTACGACATGTTGAATTATTTCGCTATTGCAGAAAATGAGTCCAAAGCCAGAATCCGATTTAATTTAATGGAACGCATGTTACAGCCGTGTGGACCACCGCCAGAGAAAGCAGAAGACTAGTTTACTTACAGAATGTTTGATTTTTTACTGAATAAATTTTGGATTAACAAAAAAGGAAATAACTTGCGCTATTACAGGACTCTTGTTTGACAACCAAGATTAAATTGAGTCAAGATAAAGTAAGAAATTTTTGGGCAGATATGACGCTTATAGGTTGAATCTTTTTTTATGCACAATAGTATTGTTGAGTTTTTTGGGTTGGGTTCCGAAAAGTATCTGTAGTTCGAGGCTAAGGAATTGAACGACGTGATCCTCTTTCTCCTCTGGCTTTAGGACTCCTGTTGTTGTAACAGTGTACAAATTCCCAGAGAGTTTTTGCGGAGAGTTGCTGTAGTGACAGTCCTTGCCCAGATACAAATTTGGTCGTTACATAGGCAAGACTTTTCCAAAACGCATTAATACAAATTAATACAATGCAAAAGTACTACATTTGCGTACCTAATTGCAAATTTACACTTTTTCCTTGGTTTCCTTGATTGGTTGGAGAATTTTTCTGCCGTCCATAGTAAATACACGGAAACAAGTGAACCGGTTCAGGGAAAATGAAACTCGTGATAAAATTTTATATTTTATGATTAATAAAAGGTACTAATACTTTGTATTGATGCGTTTTGGAAAACATCCCCTATTATCACATCTATTTTTATTCCGGGCTATCGCTGAGTGCAGCAGGGGGCTACTCTGTAATGCGATACGACAGAGAAATTCGATGCAATAGGCAATCTCCCGTGTTTGCGCGAATGCGAATCATTTGTTTTCGCACAGCTTTACAGAGTTTTCCCCCTATGGCAGAGTTTCCAGATCGTGCATCTTCCTGCTGGTGTTTACTCCCAACATAAGCAAATCTTTTTTAGACATTACGTCAGACAACCTAACGGGAAAAATCCGTGTTTGTATTTGGCCAAGGACTTACCTTTAGTAGCATTCCTCAAAAGGCTTTAGGCAATTTCTATGGTGTTGCAACAACAATAATTTCTCTCTTTTTAAGTGGTTTTAATACGAGATTTTTAGTTAAAATTAATACTTTATTTAACATAATATTACATTATCGCGTGAAAAATTTGCATATTTTACAATTAATTTACACGAAAATTTATTTAATTGGATGCATTACTATATTTTTTGTTGTGATTGCAAGATACATACATATATATTTCGAGGAAGAACTTAAATAGTTTAATATTCTACTTATACGCATACACACACATGCATCTATATATGCTAATACATATTATATTAAAAAGCTTAAAAAGTGGGCTAATTAGTTTTGTTCGTTGAATTTTTTTTGATATCTCTTTAACTTTAAAAATAAACACCGCATTGTTTAGAACGAAAGCAAAAGCAAAACAAAATTAACAAGAGTAGACCAATGATGGAAAACTTTGTGTGCGATTGCAATCAAATCTTGCAAATTAATTGTTTTTAAAATTTGCTGACCATGTACGTATGTAACTGTTAAAGTGACATATGAACATATATATGTACATGTTTACTTAAAGATTTTTTAGTTAATAAAACGATTGTAAGGCAGAAAGCTAAATACAGAGTGCTTATACACGTGAGCATAAGATACCCCAAAGCCATTCGTAGAACTAAAAAATAATTTTTGGCGCCTCAATTGAATTTTTTCAAGGTTTTGCTTACCTATTTACTTGGAAAACCTTAACCATTGGTAATTATTTGTTAGTTATGTATTTTTATTTGTAGATTTCTGCCAAGATACATACTTAGCTCATTGTCGATCTACATACGTACATACATAAAAAAAAGAAACAATTAAATGGAGTTTAGAACAGTAATAAGTCATTGCCTCATTACGCTGTTGGCGTTTCTTCATTGTGACCTTAAACAAAGCTTGAGTTAACAAAATAAAAGATGTAAAAGCTGAAAATCGAGATGAGAACGTGACGATCTCAGGGTTTTCCTTTAAACGTGCCAAACCCACAAGAAAAAAAAACATTGTGCTGCTAAGTACGATCACCGTTTTATGACGTGTTTTAATGTATGAGCACCCTTCGAACTCACTGAAATTTTCCATTTTCGGAATTGCCCTTACATCACCGTTTAAAGCATGTTTTCTTGTGAAATTGTACGTAATACTATTATCTCTTATACATACATACATAATGTACGTTATATTGTGCCATTAGTAGCTCTAACCCAATACTTTTCGTGCAAAATCGTCTAAAAATGTCAAACAGGAAAATTACTCTCTGAACTGAGAGTAAAAAGTGTGTAACAACAAAAAGTACGGGAACAAAAAAAAGCATTTTTCCTGTAAAAACGTCAACCAGTGATCGCTTGAAACTTTGCATGATTTTACCAGTAGAAAAATTTCGGGTAAAATCTTGCAACTTCATTCTCTACTCAACTCCACAAGTTCGTGTAAAAACCTGTAAATTCATGGAGTACTGGATCAGAGCTAGTAATTTTATTTTTCAAATTCATTTAAAACTAAAGTAATTGCATTGCTTATATTAATACTTTTAACTTATCTTTTTCATACGACATATTGCCTCGAGAAGCCTTATGCATAGCTTTGTTTGCGACGTGCTGAAGTTTTGTTTCTTTGAATAGGGCTCTTACTACCATCCTTACTACCTATTCAAATTGCGTATTAAACATATTGATATTTAAGTCCTCGAAAGTAGTTGTGCCACTTTGATCCAGCATTTGTAGCATATCGGAGAACTCTTGACCCTGTGGCTGACCAGCTTGCACATGTGCTCCGTGGACGGCATGAGGTCCGTGATTGGCGTGAGCAGCGACATGAGCTGCATGTGGATGTTGAGCTTGAGCGGGATTTTGCCACTCGCCCCACATGCCGGCCGCATTAGTGGGTGGTGGTGGCGCCGCTTGCGCGCTGCTGCCGGTGTGGTAGGTTGCCTGCCGTGCATTACCAGCACTCAGTTGTGTGTAAGTGGGACCACTGGGGGAGCGTGCTGGACTGGTTTGATTGTATTGGTAGCCCTCGGATACGGCCTGTTGTTGACGTAGGTTTGTCCAGGTCGCTGCAGCGGGTGTTGGTGAACTGTTGGCTTTCGGAATTTTTGCCATATGTGCAGTGTTCGGCGAAGGACCCCCCGCAGTTGGTGGATAACCACCCAAAGGCGAATGTGTTGCATCATAATTATAAGTTACAGGATTGTGTGCAGAACCAGGTCGAGCTACGTTGTTAGCTTGGGCTGTGAGTGCAGCTTGTGGCGGTATGTGCGAACCGATCATGCCGTGTGCAGTGTACATGCCGTCAGCAGTAGTAGCGGATGAAGTGACATCTCGACGTGCCTGCAATGTGTAATCAACGCCCGGCGCTACGTAAACGTGTTCGGCATTCGACTGATCTGGAGTGTTGGAGTCGTGTGCAACACTAGAGTGAAGTGTCTTTGCCGAGCTATTGGTGCATACAATGTATTCGACTTCTTCGGTATAGGGGTTTAGAAATGCATTCGCATGTGTACGTATCCAAACGTATTCACCACTTTTGGCGCGTGCACGATACATTAGAGAGAAATTTCCCTTCTGCTTTAATACTTGATCAAAGCTGTCCTTAACGTTCATCTGATCTTCTGCATGGCAAAAATCATAGCAGATCTTTCCGAGTAAATCAGTTGGCGTATAACCAAGCACATTCATGACGCGCTGATCGACAAACGTGAATTTGCCGTCCATTGCATGGCGCGTGATGAACTCAGATTGATTATTCGAGTTGGTCATGTCATTAGAGGCTGTTGAGGTAACTTGCAGTCGTCCAATAGCCACAAGACAGCAATGTGATGAGTGCATATCATCGTCTACGGGCCGTTCCATATGTACGCCAGGGAACATATCAGTTGGTGGCCAATTTTTAATATATCCAGTGCAATGCACTACTGCATAATTAGTGCCATCGCGTGACGGTCCCAATGAATTCCTTTGCTTCAAACGATTTAAATGTACCGCAACCATAGTTTCAGGATTTACGTTTCCTACACGCATGCGGCAAATGAAACCACGACGTGCACCCATACTAAGCCGCATTGATGATTGGTGACCTTCTTTCTTTACTGTGCCTGTTTTAAGGTCAAGTATTCGACCTGCATTTTGTGATTCTTGTGTCGACAATTGTTCACGAATTTTTTCGCGATCGTCAGGGTGAATGTGCTCATACAAACTGGTGCCGTACCAATCGCTCTGCGTATAGTTTAATACAGGAGTCACTGAATCTGAAACATAAATAACACGACCGGAATCGCATGAGACTACAAATAAAAATCCATCTGCTGCTTCTAATATCAAATGTTTCAGTTCCTGGTCAGTAAGGAATGATGGCTTGTATGTGCCATCGCTGCTAGTATTTCCTGTGCCACGTAGAGCCTTCATATGTGCCACAGCCATGCGTAGAATGGTCAACTTGTCAGGCTTTCTAGCAAGAGCACTGCATGTTGGCACCATATCCGAGAGTTCAGTAATATAGGCCGTCATTTTGTTACGGCGACGTCTTTCGATCTCACAATGATTTTCCCGACTCGCGAACCGTTCCTTATCCTGCATATTGGCTTCATCCATGACTGGAATATTTAATGAGTACACCGCCGGTTAGACTATGCTGCTATTGGTTCTTTCTTATTTTTTTTTTTTTTTTTTTTTTTTGAGGGTTTAAGTTACTCTCTTCTTTCTTATTTGGGTCGATTGCTTTCGTTGTAGCAGCGTTTGCTTCTTTATACTGCACTATTGTTGTTTTTGTGTGCTTGCTGCGGACAAACTGAAGGTGCACCACTTTGTCTACGTAGTAGAAAAAACCAGCAAATTTCTTGGAAACCAATGCGAGTTGAGTGAAGACCAAATATTAACAAACCGTCGACCAAATTCTAGACAAGAAATATTTGCATACTTTTCGCATGTTTTTAAATAGTTGTTTATTTGTTGAAAAAACAATTTTTGCACGAATTTACACGAAAATTTCTACAAGAAATGTGTACAAATGTTTACAACAAAACCTGACTGTACACGGTAGTAGACATCCAAAATGCTGCCACTGTGTTTAAATGAGGAATCTGTAGCAGTGACTTGAAGGGAAAATGAAATAAATATGATATCTGAGTTATTAAATATTTTTTCAATAAAAAGTTAATTATTTAAATGTTAAGTTTATGTAACAAATGCAACAAATTCTGAACAAAAGGAGAGTTAAACGAAACATCTATTAATTAAATACATGTGGCAGCTTTTAAAATTTAGCATCCAATATGTTCCACTTACATATGAAATGACAGCAGAGTGCTGCCAGCTTACACGCATTTTCCATTTTCAAATCGGCACAGTGAGAAAAAAATTTGAATTCAAGAATGATAGAATAAAAGATTGCGCATTGCCGACGGAGGTCATTTCTCAAGTAAAAGTAAACAAAGCAGAATAGGAGAATAAAAAAATATTGAAATGCGCAAGTTTAGAATAATCGAGTGGTAGCCGGGATTAAATAAAACACCTTCTCCTTTTCGCTGCTAAAATCGGAATGCTTCTTTTATTCTTTTCTTTTCACAAGATGGTGTCTTAAAACTATACCTTAAGGTCTAGTTACACTGTTCGTGTACTAAAAATATGCTAATGACTACTACACTATTACATTGATTTACGTGATTTATTAATCTATTACTTAGGCTAGTCTATACAATGCTACTACAATATGTCAGAAGGGTCGATTTACGGAGTGGCGTTTTAATTTTTTCTCTCTGACGTCAGGATTTATTTTAAAGGACTTTGTAATTTCAAAGATATTTAAAAAATTCAATGCTATGTAAATTAAAAATATAGATACCAAATGCAAGAGAGAATTTGTTTAGAATTTAAAAAATTAAAATTTTTAGGATTCACAAGGACGAATAGATAGATGGCTGCAGGGCCGTGATTTGGGGGGTGGGGGGGGGGGGGGGGAAAAAAAAAACAAAAAATTTTATACGGCAAAGTATGATAGACATTTTATTTTATTATATTTTATGTAGTTCATAAATGAATTATATTTTTACAAAACATATGTTTTGAGTCAAATGTTTTTGAGAAAAGTACACCGTAGTAATTTAAAAATTTCAAAATTACATTTCTCGACTGAAAAATGAGATATTCGAGCAAACTCGACGGCACACAGTGTGCTTTTTTACCATTTCATGCCAATTAAGCGTAGCGCTTTCAACAAGAAATATTTTTCAAGGAAAAATATTACCATTGAGCCACCGTCACCCCTTGACCTTAAAAAAATTGGCCAAAAATAGTGTTCTTTGAAAAAAAGAGCATGCAAAATCCAACGGATATATTAAAAAAAAAACATTTTTTAGATTTTTTATTATACTAATATTAAAGATTTTGGGACGAGAAACACGATTCCAAAAATTTCAACCCCTCAATTTGAAAAATGCCTTATATATTGCATTTTTCATTATTTGCATGCAGTTGTGCATCCTTCACACAATTTGTATCCCTCGAACAACAAGTCGGTTTTAGTGCTATTCAAGACCTTTAATTTAAGCCAAGGTAGAAGTCTCTAGGCCCTTTGAGAGCTAAGTTATTCTAAAGTTAAACTTCGAAATTTCATTCGACATTTTACGCTTTTTTTCTGGTTTCGGAGTAAAACCTAGTACAGCAGTTCGGAAGCTTGGTTTGAAATTGTTATAACTTGGCTCTCAGAGGGACTAGAGACTTCTACCTTGGCTAAAATTAAAGGTCTTGAATTGCACTTATTGTTCAAGGTATATAAAATTGAGCGAAGGAAGCACAGCTGCATGCAAATAGAAAAAATGCAATAAATAATACATTTCTTAAATTAAGGTGTTCAAATTTTTCTTCGAATTTTGAACAAAGGGAATCGTGTTGCTCGTCTAAAAATCTATACTAGTATAACAAAAAATGCATAAAAGTTTTGTTTTTGAATAAATCCCGTGTATTTTAATGCTTTTTTTTCCGAATAACACTACTTTTGACCAATTTTTTTTAATGTCAAGTGGTAATTGTGGCTCAGTGGCTACAATTGAAAGGGATTTACTTTAGCTTTCAAAACCACTTTGTTTCGTATCAAAATGCTGCTTCTGTCGGAAGCGCTACGATTAATTCGCTTGCAGTGTTCAAAAATCATACTGTGCGGCTTATGAAAGGACAAGAGATGTATTTTAAAATGCCGTGCATATTTTTCAGATATGAGTTCAGCGACAATCCGGCCCTGCCTGGCAGCTCTCTTTAGGATTCGCGCCCCTTTTTCATTTCCTTCTACTAAGTCGAGAATAACGGCTTGGCGGTTACTGTGTGTGTAGTGTTCGCTCCATTTAATGCCCCTAGTCAGTGAGTTACTCGAAAACGTGAGGTCGATGATAAACTCTTTACTGTTCCGGCGAAAAGTCCTGATTCCCCCGCAGCTATCCAGCGCTAAATCTAGCGAGGAAAAGGTTTGTAGTAGATCTGTACCCTGCTCCGTTGCCCACGCATTGAAATCGGTCGTTGGAATTATTGGGTGTCTGTCTATTACGGATTCCACTACATTATCCAGAAGCTGTTGGAATTCCTCGTGAGTTCAGCTAGGAAGTGCATAACAGCTACATATCTGGTATCCTTTGAATTGAACCCACAAAATTTCTAGAAATTAGATATAAGCGGCGAGAGAGACTACCCTTTGGAACCCCCTTTCATTTTTCTGGGGTTTGACGTTTTATCTATCCTACTGACTTACCCTGTTTACGTCGGTGAAATCCAAGTGGCCTATTCGATGCCGGTGTCTGGTACTACGAACTAACATATCCCATATCGTGGCGAACTCTCCATTATGGGAAGTATTCCCGTGAGGACTAACTGTTGGAGCAAATAAAATTTCTCCATCCACCCTGCAACTTAAGTCGCCAGGCACGATTTAGACGACGTGATGGGGCAGCGATCGTACGCTCTTTCAAAATGATCTGGAAACGGTCCAAGGTCTCATCGTCCTTCTCCTCTGTCAGAGCGTGTGCGCAAATTAAGCTCATATTGTGGAACTTAACTTTTAGGCGGATTGTGGCAATTCGTTCACTTCTGAGGGCGAATCTGGAGACAAGACGTCGGAGTCCCGGTTAAACCACAAATCCTAAACCGAATTTTTACGTCGTATCAGGGCAGCTGTATTAGATGTGTCACACTGCCATGCGCTGTCCATCACATTCCATAAATTACGGTGATGCAGCGTTGTATTTTTCTGCGAAATCCAGCAGTTGGATAGAGTCACCTTCATTAGGACATTCCGGGCATTCCAGGTGCATATCTATATCTTTGTTTAGTTTTCGATGGTCGTCAACATATGGATAATTCTTTTTTAGTGAGCTTTTTTTAATAAGCGGCGGGTTCCAAATCCGGCGTACAATTTATTACTGAGATGGTTTTTTGAAAACTGAAGCACATTTAAAATGCCAGCCATTGCTACTGGTGAGTGGACGCTGCGGACTGGTATGGATACATACATACACGAAAAACATTCCTTGTCACTAGAAGAAAATTTCTTAAGCTGAGGAGAACGGCCTTAAAATGAGCCCAGGGACATGCATTACTTTGTTAAAAAAAAATGGCTAAAGTCACAAAATGATCTATATCAATTATTTCCTTTGCAGTACACTTAGGTCGTGAATAGACGGCGCATAGTGTTACCACAGTTTGACACTGTTAAACCGTTTCATGTCTCTGTTGCATCTCATCAGACATCTTGCGTCGGTGTTTGAAACCTCACTAAGGTCGGCCAGAAACGATGATCTCAGATTCCGCAGCCTGCTTCTACACAGTGCGGCACATTTACACAGGAGATATAAGATAGTTTCCTCCTCTTCGTAGTTCTTACAGCTACTGCATTATATTCGGAACGGCATGCAGCCCCTTTCTGCATCTTTTCCTATTAAACAGTGCCCAGTTAGAGCCCCTCAATGTAAGGTGTATCCTCTATCCTCGGAGAGTAGACGCTTCGTGACTGTTTCTCATCTCATTTAAGTCACGTCTGCCTGAAAATTCAATAAGTCGTACTTTGATTCTCCAACTTGTTTGTATCCAAATTCTCAGCTCAGAGCTTTGATGGCAGCTATCACTAAAACAGAACAAGCTTATCTATAGCCTCCCTGATAGCTGAAACCTTAGTTTGGAATATGCTCCAGTAGTCTAGTAACCTAAAAGTAATTTCGAGAGGAGGGTTTCGTGAGAAGACATCTCCTCCCACCTTACCATAGAGATTTAAGCATTCTGTATAATGTCCTTTTAAGCTTAAGTTCTTCTATCATCTCAGATGATTTCTTAAAACAGAAATTTTAGAAAGTACTTTTATTTATAAAAAAACTTGATTTTCAGAGGTATTTTCAAATTGTTCCAGCAGCGGATTCCAACATTTGCTATCGCTAATTTTGATCACGCAACACGCAACGCGCAACATCTAGTTACATGCCCCCCATTCTGCCAGATTTGGCTGATTACACACTGCTTTTCATTTAGAGAATTGTAGCGACAAAAATTTGGCATGGCGATTGCCAGAGATGAACTGCAGCTGACGGAAATCTTAGCGAAAGTTTTTAAATATAATAGTTTTAATAATTCCGACGGAAAACCCGCGAGGCACTCTTATGTACATACTTCCGTACACAATAAGTAGACAATAAGGAACGTTCCTATAAAGATGTTGTGGCATTCCACACCACATTCTCAATCCAGTCTAGATACAAATTTACCTTCGTATTAATGCTCGGAATGTCGGCAGTGCCACATATCTCGTATCCAAAGGAAGTTATCGCGGCCAACTGCAGCATACAAGGATAACTCGGATGTGGCACATACAATGGTCCACCGGAGTCACCGTAGCACGTATCGAAGCCACTCTGATGACTACCAGCACAAATTTGCGTCCGCACCCTTACGCCCCATTCCAACTCTGACTGGGCCGTCACAGATGCTGTACACTCATCTCCGGCAAACAAATCTAATTTCACCTTCAACAAATGCGTAGATGATATCTTTTTTTCAGTTTCACCCCAACCAACAGCTGTGAAGCTTTTATATATCGCATCCTTTGAGGGCAAGCAGGCGGGCAGGACATACTCATTCAGTGTCGCATCGCGATCCAATTCAACTAATGCGATATCATTGTAACGCTCAAAATAATACATTGGATGTACAATAGCATTGCGCACGGTAAAATCTTGGGTTTGAGTGCCATCGGTTGTAGTGCTGTGATCTAGTTCACCCAGTCGTACGACATTAATTTTGCTGACAATGGAGGAAAAGGGGTGATTTTATGTGTGTGTGTGTGGGGTCTTAAGTAATTGCTGTGCATGAAGCGGGTACCTACCGTCGCCAACAATGTGCCGCGGAAATTACAAAGCGCTCACTTATCAAAGTACCGCCACATTGCCACTCTATCTGGCCGCTGGCCTGGTCCTTCGATCCCAGCAACGCAATCGATTGAAATTCCTTTGGCGCGGCCCTTTCGCCACCATATATCAGTGCTTGTGGACAAAAGCGGGGCGCTAACTTCTGATACTCGAAACAAGCTGGAAAATAAAAGTTTTCATCAGAATATTTTTAAGCGTTCTTAATGTGTATCAGCTTTTTTACCCCTTTCTGCATAAGTGGTTGGTTCGCTATTTCCCAAACGTGTATCCAATGCAATCCCCGGCCGAGGACAGCAAACTATGCCAAATACTTTGTTGCAAAAAGGTATCGAACTGGTATCCATGGTTGCAAGGTGGGTGAAAATGTCAGGACAATATTGCAGCTCTTTACATTCACCCACCGCATTGTCACAGACTTTGGTAGAAAACATTTTGGAAAAAAGAAAGAAAAACCAAAGGGTCAGTTAGTACACTTAGCCAACTTTGAAAACTTCAAATCGGAGTCTGAATCAAGATCTGGAGCTTAGATATGTATATTGGAAATAACGTGAAGAAACATTACTGCTCTCTTGAAGAAGAGGCATCGATGTACATACTTTCGTCATATTTTGCCAACCATTGCTTCGGCGTTTTTGAAATTCATTCAAATTTACACCGATGCTTATACTTTAACACAGCAGTAACTTAATATGTTTCCCTGGAGATAGTAAAAGTCCTACCTGTCGAAAGTATGAACAATCAAAAACGTATTGTTTGATCTTTAAAAGTATTATAACTTAACCGTTAAAATTATTTTTCCATTTTTCCGTCAAAATTTAACCGTTATTTGAATCCCTTAATTACCAAAGGGAACAAGTCAGCATTTTTTATATAACAATTTCGATGTAGCTCGGTCCGTTTAACCCTCATCGGTTCCCGCAAAAAATTTGTCGCATAGGTTCTTTTGCATACGCTCGTTTACAAACAGATCTGACACTTCTAATCACATTTTTAAGAAAAATTCCAAGATTGCAGTTATATAGCCCATTCAATTTTAGTATAATTAAGTGCAAGTCTGATGTTGCTAGAAATTCGCAATTTTCTCCGTACAAAATAAATTGCCGAACATACTTTGTATTGAAGAACTTGCATGAAAAAAAAATTGCCAAAAACCATCACGATTTTCTAGCAAATTCAAACTTGCATTTTGTTATACCAAAATTTAATGAGCTATATAACTGCATACCTGGAATATTTCTGAAAAATCTAACTAGAATTGTCAGTTAGAAAAACTGTCAAAAAAAATTCGCTCAGAGCGAGAGAGTAACATTGAAAAGTACGGGATCGCTTTCTAGTAAAAAATGGTAACTTCTGTCAACTTCAACATAACTCCAAATTTTGGTTGTAAATTTTTGCTTATTTTGTATGTAAACACACTTAGCTCACACATGTAAATAACCAAAAATACTTTCAAATTCATTAGAATCCACTTAAAAAAGTAATTAAATACTTTTCAACATGAATTAGCAGAGTCCACTTTTCTTTTGTTTACAATTTGGTTGCCAAACACACTACAGCTGATCGTTTGACACATTTATCAGAATTTACCAGCAAAAAATTCTCGGACTAAAACTGGTAACTTCTGACAGAGAGAGAACCGTATTTACTCTCTTTTTTGTCCTCTCAATAGTCAGAGAACCGAGTACGGGATCGATTTCCAGAAAATCTGACTGATTCTGACTATTTCTGACTAGTCCGGACTCGTACGGGATCGCAACTTATTTCAACTGGGAACGAACAACGCATGCCCGGAATCTCTGTTGGTTTTACGTATTTCATGCAAATCATTTCGACAATTATGTAGTTATTTTTTTATTCAAATTCAAAAACTGTATTCACGAACCTCAACAAATCGAAGCCTTCTCTCCTGCGGCCATTGAAGTAACCGTCAGAATATTTTGGTTGAATATTTCATTAAGTTAAGGTTTGTCAGAGCTTCGTGTATTCATCAAGCATTGGGATCAGTGTTTATAATTTCGATACAATTATACTTTTTTGATGCAATTTCAAGTGCTTTTTACTTTCCTACTACCCAGCACTTTTTAGTACAATTTCATCTACCAAAATTTGGTAGCACTTTATTCGTTAAGTTATACAGCACTGTCTTGATTAATTTGTTAGATGATGTATTTAAAATCGCATAAAATTGATATACGGGACGTGTATTGTGAAGCTGAAGCGGAATTTTTCATTTGTCAAAACAAAGAAAAACTAAAAGAGGAAGATATTCTAAATTTTGGAAAAAAACGTTAAACAATATTGTGTAAAATTTTGTCGTATCTACTATGAAGAAAAAAATTAATTTTAATGACGAAGTTCTAATATGGGCTTTAAAACTGAACACTTCTTCAATATTATGAGGCAATATGCACAGCACTGTTTCACTAATTGTTTCAAAAGTGTGAAATTCGCCTGCGCTGAACAAAAATTTTGTCAACCTAAATATTTTAGAATTTCAGAGAAAAGTAAGAATCACCAAAATTTTTTAAATGAACCAATGTTTTCAAACATATAAAATATCTCTCAAAGAGTGTTTTCGATTGCATACTCTGCATATAATGTTGAATGGATCCTCTCGATACAAAAATTAATAAAAATGAAGTGTCGAAATAGACATCAAGTATAAACAATTTCCTCTTTACATAACATTGATACAAAGTTCAGGCACAGTTTAAACTACGAGTAATTATTGCTGGATTAGTAATTTGCACTTTGTAAATTTAAAAATATCCATTCATTGTAAATCTTTTGTTTACATACATGCTTCTAAAATCATAATATCCGATGTAAAAGTGTGTAAACTTTATGTAAATAAAATAAAGGTAATAGTGTTTCTAAATTTTTAGCAATTATTTGTACTTCATTAGGAACAGTAATGGAGGATGGTTCCGTGCGCAGAAGTGGACAACTTTTGACTGCCATTCACCTGGGAGTGGCCAGAAGCGATTCTTGTGCGTACGGTTCAAATCGCAGCTCACAACGTCCGGATATTTATATCCACGTATCCTCTGGGTAGCAACCAAACACCCGTTTGGGAGCGAGCTAAAGTGAGAAGGCGTAAAACTTCGCGTGCGCTGGGTTTGGGTCCCGCCACGTTAAAACCCCGCCCAATGAAAAGAAGCAAACATCCTCGGATGAGACCCCCTTTTTTTGATGACGACCACGGCAAACGTATAAAGGACTATGATTTAAGGGTATGCACCTGGAATATCCGGACCCTTAATGGGGAAGGTGCCTCTGCCCGGCTGGTTGATGTCCTCGGGAAGACAAAGGCTGACATCACCGCCATCCAAGAAATGCGATGGACGGGGCACGGTAAAGTAAGCGTGAAGCCTTGCGACGTCTACTACAGTTGCCACGTAAAGGAGCGCAAATTCGGTGTTGGATTCGTGGTAGGAGAGAGACTCCGTCGCCGAGTACTGGCGTTCACCCCGGTGGACGAACGTCTAGCCACAATCCGCAACAAAGCTAGATTCTTCAACATCTCGCTCATCTGCGCCCATGCCCCGACGGAAGAGAAGGATGAGGCGTCCAAGGATCTCTTCTATGAGCGCTTGAAACGTACATATGAGCGCTGTCCACGACACGATGTCAAAATCGTGCTTGGCGATTTTAATGCCAAGGTGGGCAAGGAAGGGATCTTTGGCGCCACTGTCGGAAAATTCAGCCTCCACGACGAAACGTCCGATAACGGACTGAGGCTGATCGACTTCGCCGGGGCCCGAAATATGGTAATATGTAGTACTAGGTTCCAGCATAAGAACATCCACCAAGCTACATGGCTGTCTCCAGATCGAAAAACGAGAAACCAAATCGATCATGTTGTGATAGACGGAAGGCATGCTTCAAGCGTTTTGGACGTACGTACACTCCGAGGGCCAAACATCGACTCGGACCACTATCTTGTTGTAGCCAAGATACGCACCCGCCTCTGTGCAGCAAAAAATATGCGCCCAACAATGCAAGGAAAGCTTAACGTCGAAAAGCTGCAATCACAACAGACGGCCAATTTATTCGCCACTCGACTCACAGACCTGCTCTCTGAGAGCACTCTTCAACAATCCGACGTACGCGAGCAGTGGAACCACATTTCCCGATCATTAAGTACCGCCGCCGAAGAAGTAGTTGGATTTCAGCGAGCCCGAAAGAACAACTGGTACGATGAGGAATGTCAAGAAGCCGGAGAGAAAAAAGATGCCGCCTACAGGGCCACGCTGCGATCGGGCGCAACGCGAGCCATGTGGGACCGTTATAGGGAACTGAAGAAGGAAGCGAGACGTATTTGCCGCAATAAGAAGAGAGAGGCCGAAATACGTGCGAAGAGCTTGAGATGCTGGCCGACAGGAAGAACGCCCGAAAATTCTACCAGAGGGTTAGGCGACTTACGGAAGGTTTCAAGACCGGGGCGAACTCCTGTAAGACCAACAATGGCGACCTAGTGACCGATGTCCAGAATATACTTAAATTGTGGAGGGAACACTTTTATAACCTACTGAATGGTAGCAGCGCTGAAAGTAGTGAGGAAGACGAACCCGAGTCCCCAGTCGATGATGATGGAGTAGCTGTCCCACCGCCTGACTATGACGAGGTACGAATAGCGATTACGCGGCTGAAAAACAACAAAGCTGCTGGAGCTGACGGCCTGCCAGCCGAGCTATTCAAGTACGGCGGCGAGGAGCTGATGCGGTGCATGCATCAGCTCGTATGCAGAATATGGTCAGATGAACGCATGCCCGACGACTGGAATTTAAGTGTGCTCTGCCCAATCCACAAGAAAGGCGACCCCGCCATACGCGCCAACTACCGCGGAATTAGCCTTTTAAGCATAGGTTACAAGGTCTTATCGAGCGTATTGTGCGAAAGACTGAAGCCCACCGTCAACGAGCTGATTGGACCTTATCAGTGTGGCTTTAGGCCTGGAAAATCCACCATAGATCAGGTATTCACAATACGCCAAATCTTGGAAAAGACCCGCGAGAATAGGATCGACACACACCATCTATTTGTCGATTTCAAAGCCGCTTTCGACAGCACGAAGAGAAGTTGCCTTTATGCCGCGATGTCTGAATTTGATATCCCCGCGAAACTAATACGGCTGTGTAAAATGACGTTGAGCAATACCACCAGCTCCGTCAGAATAGGGAAGGACCTCTCCGAGCCGTTTGATACCAAACGAGGTTTCAGACAAGGGGACTCCTTTTCGTGTGATTTCTTTAATCTTATGTCGGAGAAGATAATAAGAGCCGCAGAACTGAACCGCTCAGGCACAATACTTTATAAGAGCGTACAATTGCTGGCGTATGCCGACGACATCGATATTATCGGTAAAAACAAGGGCTACGTCTGTTCTGCCTTCTCGGAATTGGATAGAGAAGC